AGGATACGCCCTATTCCCAGCAGGATCCACCTTAAACCTGGAACCACCCTATTCCCAGCAGGATCGACCCTAAACCCAGATCCACCCTAAACCCAGATCCACCCTGGTCCTTGAGCTGGGTCGCCTTTCTCAAACATTCATGCAATGTCACTGCAAATGACCTGGGTCCAAGGCAAGCCCATTTCCACAATGGAGAGTCCTCCCTCTAAGCAACATTGGGTAGGCTGACAAGGAAATTGCCATGCGTCATTCCTACTTGGCTATGGCTCTCAGCACCAGGCAGGGCTGGAGCAAGGCAGCCACTGTGCAACCAAGACTATGGAAAACTCTGTGATCCCGGACCTGACACATCGGAGCTGCCAACCATTCACAACAAGCACCCACCCCAGCCTTCTCTTTGTATGAGAAAAATCACCTCCTATAACAAAGGTTCCCAAATGCTCTTAGCGTCTTGGGAATTTTTTTCACAGTGCCCCTAGGCCAAAAGAAACACCTAACAATTGCATGTATTAAGTAGCTAGGTGTCGACACTTAATGGCCTTTATGTACTAACAACTGTTTGAAAAAAGTAATACACATAAATTAAAAGTAATGTTATTGTTTTATTCCTAAATAATTACAATTGCTAATGAGATATGTGTTCCAATTGTGCACTCTACACTACTAACACCTTGGAGTAAGATTGGACATCGCCATCCTCATCATTTCCTGCTCATACTGATTGTCACTTAATACTTGCTACTTTTTAAATTGTGGTAAAATATACAAAACATGAAAATTTACCATTTTAACCATGCACTTGAAAGAAAAAGAGGTGGCTGAAAAGTAGAATAAAATATACTACAATAGAACATAACACAAAATAATGTAAGGCAAGATCAAACTTTAAAAACTATACAGAAACAATTAATTTTACTTAAGAAATAGCTTAATGTGATGATGGGCTAATTAAAGTGGGAGAACTGTATGGGAGTCCTGTGAAAACTGTACAGATCAGGTTAATACATTCACATTGTTGTATAACTATCACCATTATCCATCCATTGCCAGAATTTTCTTATTCTCCCAACTGAAACTTGGTAGCCATCAAACACTTACCCCTCATTCCCCCTTCCCCAAGCCCTTATGCAAGCACCTTCTGACTCTATGAATTTGATTCTTCTAAGAACTTCCTATAAAATAAAGCACACACTATCTGCTCTTTTTTGATGTGGATATTTAAATTAGCATAATTTAATTCAAGGGTTTTCTGTGTTGTAGCATGTGTCAGAATTTCCTTCCCTTTAAAGATTAATATTCCATTGCCTGTTTATACCATATTATACTTATCCTTTAATCCAGTAATGGATCCTTGCTTCTATCTTTTGGCTACGTGGATAATGCTACCATGAAGATGGTGTACAAAGTACTTGCTATTTTTTTTTTATAATTGCTACTATGGAAAATGTATCTTTGCAAAGATAAAACCTCACCAAAAGGAAAGAAATAAAGGTGGATGATGAAGAGAATAAAATATACTCTAATAGAACATAATACAAAATAACATAAGGCAAGATTAAACTTTATAAAGTATTCAGAAACAAAGTATTAATTTTACTTAAGAAATAGCTTATGTAAGGAACACAGTAAAATTTACTACTGAAACTATCAATCTCCTCAAGCTAGTAATTTGCCTGGTATTCAAAAGATGTCATGCATCTTATATTCCTTTCAAAATATAAAATGTTTTTTATGCTCAAGTTCTCTGTACTACACCAGTGACCTTAATGCACTATTTGAGAACACACTATATGATGTTAAAACTATTGTTATTTGCATTCCAGTGGAGCAGATTTTATTCCTTAAGTACTATAAACATTCCTGCCAGATGAATACTTCTCATAAGGCTTCCTTGGTGATTCTCTCCTTCAAGTCAGATGCGCATCTGTGTGACAATCTTTAGGTGGATGAAATTGTACACAGCTCCACTACCTTCCTAAAAGTTAGTACAACCACTCTTCCAGCTCACAGGATGCACTGTCTTATCCAACATCATCTTTTTCTTGCCTTTGGACTCAAACTGAAACACTGGCTCTTCCTGGTCTTGGGCATGCTAGACCAAGGACTACACTATCAGCTCTCCTAGTTCTTAGGCCTTCAGACTCAGACTAGAATAACTATCTGTTCTCCTGGATCTCAGTTTGCCAATCTACCCTGAAGATTTAGGGACTTGCCAGCTTCCATAATCCTGTAAGCCAATTCCTTATAATAAATCTCTCTATATTCACTTATATACATTTATATATATAAATTTATCTTTTTGATAAATTTAATCAATTTATCTTTTTATTTATATAAATGTATGTAAGTATATACACACATATGTATATATACACACATGGATATAAATATACATTCTATTATTTTTGTTTTTCTGGAAAGCCCCAATTAATAGTCCCACAGAGTCACATGTTCCACCAGGGTCCTAGGAGATAACAGCCAAACTCCTTGGCATGTCATTCATAATCCTTCACTTGCCTTCTACTTATTCCTCTCCAGACTCATCTCTTACCAGTCTCTGTACACTAAACCCATGTAGAACTAGGTAAAAGTTCATGAAATGCCCCAGGTTTTGAATGTGCTTTTCTCCCAGCCCAGAACAATTTCTAGACAGCCCCCTCCACTCATACATGTGTCACATACGTATACATGTGCACACACACACACACACACACATACACAGAGGACATGCAATGTACAATTCCAAGACTGGCTCCTCACTCTGTAGGTGTCTACCTAAATATCTTACTCTCCTCCTAGATCCTCCTATTAAGCACAGACCAGAAATCTCTCTCAACAGTTGCCATACACTCTTTCAGAACCCTTACTCTGTTTTAACTGTACATATATTTGCCTGAATCCTCCACCAGCCTGAGGGCAAGGACTAGGTTTTATTGGTTGTTGTATTTCCAGAACAGTGGCTCATCCAAAATATATGCTCAATAATTATTTGCTGAACAAATGACCTGATGAAGTTAAAACAGTCCCAGATAATCAGTACTGACTTAATTTTGGAATTGTCAACCAAGATTCAAAAAGGACACATTCAGCTATTTCTGGCATCATCCAGACCACTGATGGTATCCAAGCTGAAAAACCAGGAAGAAGAATAACAGAGTATCTTCAATTCCTTACCTGTGCCCATGCACACCCCTACCATTTCAGTCCAAAACATGTACTATAAGCTAGCAAGCTGAGCAAGGAGCCACAAAGCTCACAGGAAGAGAAGCAGCACTATTTTTTATATGCATTCCAAGGTGTATTGACCCTGAGAGTTCACTATCACTTAAGTATCTGAAGCATTTTTTTCACCATGATTATAATTATAGCCATGTCTGGTCACCATCAAAGCAATATTCCCAAACTCCTTGCTGGCTGGTGCCCTTGAAGTTATTTATTCTTTCCAGACCTAGTGCCCTTATCGGTAGATCAGCCATAGTATACAACTGAGGGCTGTTGTGAGGAATAACTCAGACTATGTACTGGAAAGCACTCTACATGCTGTCTGACACATGCTAAGTTATACTTTAATAAATTCAAGTTATTAATATTATCACCATTATTATTGTCAGTCAGGTTTATAAACACAAGTACCTATGAAAGCAAGTTACAGTTCACTAGTCAAGCATGAGCTGAAAGATTTTACTGGGCCTCAGCCCCTGAAAATCCAAACGCTGCAGTTTGATATTAAGGAATTAACTTGCCATGCAATGAACATAGCAACCTAACAATGACAGAGTTATTGTGGATATAGCCCCCAGGGAAACTTTTTCCTATACTAAAAATCAGTACCACTAAGAAATAAAACAACTCAAAACCAAATATAGACCAAATATAAATAAATTTTTAAAAAATAAAAAGAAGAAAATAAAAAACTACATGTGTATTTGGTTATGTGCTTTTCTTAGTGTCTGTGTAGAAATATACAGACACTAAGACAAGCAACTCTTTGGCTACTTGCCTGAAATAAATCATTATTCACCTTAATTAACTGAGTGAGTGGCTGTTCAGAATGAGGCTCTTAATTCTATTTGATGATGTGAGTACTTTTAATAAAAACATTTACGACTAAATGCTAAAATACCTTAAGGAATATATAATTGTGTTATTTTACATAGCAAAGCTGTATTTTACATGGGATACATGGTCTTTCTCTTTTTATCCTAAATATACGTACAATCTGCAATGTAACTTCATTAAGTCAACAACAATTTCTAGAAAGAGTGTGTCATTCAAATAATTTGCTATTCTCCAACAATTATTCTGTAATTTAAAATATATGGTAATTCAAACACTATTAAGTTAAAAGTACATTCGCTCTCTGCATTTCAAATTAATCATTTTCTAGTTCTCCACAAGTACCAAACACATCTTTTCACTATTCTCTTCCAGCTTGCTTTCTTCCTGTTACTAGCTATATACTCAAAATTATAGGTTTTGCTCTTAAAATAATTTTTCTTATCATTTACAGTTACTGATTCTTCATTTATTGGCTGTTAAAATATTCCTCCTTTTTTAATCCTTCTCCTTCCAAACACCACCTTTCTTCTAGCGCTTCTAACACTAACATAAATTGCAGTCCAGTCGCCCGTTTCATCACCCATGGCCTGTAGAATAGAGCCGCCAGTGAGCCAGGGCACTGCTACAAGTATCAGAGGACAGGATCTTTCTAATCTTTCTCTGGCCCTTCTGCCACCACCACCCAACCTATCTCCATATTTTGAATCTTTCTATTCTACTTTCCACTCTATTTCACAGTTCAATGAGGTATACCACACATGTACCCAGCATCTACCCCCAACAGACACACACCCCTTTACCCAGCAAGCTTAGATATCATTATGAGACCATGAACTTTGACCCTGAGATTGAATTATCTATCTTCCTAATTTTCTAGCAGGAAAGAGACTGGGGGAGAAAAACTTTCCATTTTTTCAAAGATCCCAGAAAGACAATCCTACCTTTCCCAGGATTTGGAGAAAAAGGGTTTCCAAACTCTTGCTGCTTTGGCTTTAAAGTGTGTGACCCTGACATGCCTCCAGCCTGGGTGACCTGGAATCGTGGCTTCCCATTGGTGAGCACTTGTCTCCTGGGGCTCAGGGCAGGCAGGTGGATAGAGCTCTCAGTCAGGGTGTTCTGAGGAGCCATCCCTCCTCCTGAGGGCATCTTGAGGTGGAGGCTGTTAACAAGGCTTCCAATAGCAGGGCTTGGTGTGCTGCCACAGGACGAGGGGCCAGGAGTCCCCGAGTGGGCTCGGATGGGAGGAATATGTTGGCCACTGACCATCCCAGGCCCCTGTGGGGTTCCTGATGTCCGGTGGAGACTCATGCCGCATGACCTTCCATTCATTCTGAAAAACCTGTGGCCAGGATGGTCAAATATCCAATGGCACTAATGACTCCTTTCAGGCAAAGTCCAATAAGTTATCCATGGTGTGGGTTATAAGCCTGTTTAAAAAAATAAATGCGGGCATTTTTTAAAGTAAAAATAAAAATAAAGTACAGTGAAGAGTTTTTAACCTCTGTAGCATTTTTACCTCTGAAGCATTCATATCAGGAAGAAAAGAAGCCCTCTTAGCAAAATGACCTTTTTTGTAGAATGAAGTCATCAAATACATGGCTCATTGGCAGGTATTCTCCCCTTCTGTATTCATGGTAGGTATGGACTATGGATCACTACCTTGTTTTGTTTGCCACGGAGCCCTTCTCAGTACAGTGCTTGGCAACTATGACCAATCACCTGGTGCCAGCTTGAAAAATGAAACTTATCTTGCTGCCTGAAGGATCTGTCCATACTAGTTCACTTTTGTACAGTGGTTTTTAGAAAATCCAAAAGCATCACCTTCCTGAACTATGAGACAAATGCTACAAAGTTCCTGGTAAACAAACACAAAGCAGACAAGGCCTCTATACTAGATGATAGGGATATTACACCACCTCTGATCTTCAGTCTAAGAGCAATCTTTTCACAATCTCTCAATTTACAAAAGATTAAATTCTGGGCCTGAGAATATTGCAAAGGTTTCATAAATCCTTATATTCAAACATTCACAGAAGCATTAGAATTTTGGTTCTATATGGATCCTACATTACAAGAACAGAAATAAAACCAACACAATACTCCAACCTTCCACTGAAGTCCTAGAAAAGAGAAGACTGTGCAAAATGCCTTATAGAAAACACAAGGAAAGAACAGTCCTTCTAACAGTAAGATATCCAGTATGTTTACAGTGCAAGATATACTGGACGTTGTCCATAGTCTCATGACGTTTCCTATGCAGGAACCAAGAGAAGGACTGACATTAGCACAGGACACCATCATCTATCCATTTGTGATACTATCAGTTCTCCATTGTTCTAAATCATCAAGGAAAGCCCTTCCCTCTCTTGAATAATGTGTATGCAATGAGGTGGCCCAGTGCCATGGTAATGCCACTACTCTAAATGTTTGATAGACACATTCATAATATGTCTTTTATACTGACAAGATAGTCATGGAAAAAAGCCAAAGTTGGACAAACACAAGAAATAAGGACACTGTATAAAGAAAAAACATTCAGATGTTCTCAACTGGATGATTCTCACTTTTGTCTGTGAGATCTCCTCAAGGTCTGAAACAAACATTTTCAACTCCACTTCAAAACAAATGACTCCTTAAGTCATCAAGGAAAGAATAGCAAGGAAGGAAAACTTCTAGTGAATTTTTTTTCTTTTATAGTTTCCAGAAAGTCAAATATATTTAAGTTTCAATTCAAGCGTTCCATATACCTTCTGTAAAATTTACCATATGTGCCTATATTGAAGAACTTCAAAAATAATTAACAAAATAAAACTTGGAATGTTTCCTCATTTTCACCAATTCTATATTTTGCTAAGAATTCCATTGGTCTCTCACATTCAACACTGCCTTTCCATCCAGTCCTAGGAAACACTCAAAAGTACTCCTCCAAGACCAGTCTCACTCCTGCCCTCCCCTGCCCTTCAGTCCCCATGAATGGCCAACAAGTTCAAGTTATCCAAACTAAATGATTCATTTATGGAAAATTAAGAAATAGACCCTGATATTGGACAGGTTGTAAATTTTTTTTTAACACTGGAAAGATTCCAGTGCCTTTTTTGTTGTGTCCCTGTAGAAGAATCCAAGTGTATTCCCAGCCAGTCTGTTGATCCATTTATTGGTTGATCATGAGCAAGAATCATTTAATATCTTCACACTTTGCCAGATAAAACTATTCTCCACTCATTGATAAAATAATGTTTTCTGAGCGCTCTGAGCCCTACAAAAGAAATCACTTATTTTTGTATCCACCCAATAAAAAGGAAAGAAAAGGCAATGAAAAATGTCACATTGGCAATTTTTTTGAAAATGAAGAATTGTTCAACATGACTGGAAATATGAGTCACTAAGACCAGGATCCAAGTGACAAGTGTCTGCAGATTTGCAGACTGTGGCCATTTTCAGGTTTTTAAAAATAAGGGAGTCATTTTTGGCAAGAAGATCATACACAAGCAGGAATTCTCATCAAAAATTTGGATAAAAACACCTAAGTAAATACTTAGCATTAGGTTCGATCATTAAAAAGGTGAGTCTGCAAGAAGGGAAAATAATTAAAGTGCTGAGAACTTAATTAAGTATCAGGCACTCACACCTGTCTGACTTGCAATGATTTTCTTTTTTTTATAAACTGCACTCCTGTTTTAAATAGCTTTAGGTTGAAAGTTAAAAACAACAACAAAATGTACTTAAATTTTATTACTGAAAAGGCAGCAGCTAAAAAGTAAAGTAACTAATACCAAGAAGAAAAAGCAACAGGTCAATGGCATGTGAGCTGAACAAGACCTCAAGACAAAACTAAACTACATGTGAAAATATACCTAAAGTTCTCATCTTCTTATTAATATGCCAACAGATTTTTTTCAAGCATTAGATACCAGAATGCAAATATAAATTTTGTTTATTCTTATTATAATATGTTGTATACTTCTTAGCTAAGCCATAAGAACAGGACAAAATTTTAAGTTTACATGGTAACCAAAAAGGAAGAAATTGCTCATTTTTAAGGACATATGCTTGTAGAGTCAAATTTAAAAAGAGCACTCAAACAGTCAAGAGGCCTGAGTTTCATTTCTGGCAAGCCATTTGTAATGTGTCTGGACTTAGAGGTTTCATCCCCAAAGTTTGACTATGATCATGGGGTCTCTTGACTTTTTGTTATTCCAGATAATTGGGGTATGAAAGATTAACAAAAATATCCACTGACTGTAATCAAGAATACATACGTAGATTCTGCTGCACCCATGGCCCTTAAATCTAGGGTGACTGGGGAGACATGGAAGCAAAAGTAATGTCAGTGTCGACCAGCTCCATCAAAGCAAGAGCAGACAGAAAGGTTCTCCTGCCAGCAGCATGCAGAAAGACAACACTAACCAGGAAAAATGAGTCCACTCATTGCAAAGAAAATAAAACCACAACTAATTTGTAAAAATACCTAACTGGTAGAATTCCATGGGAAGAGTCTCTATTTAAAAACTTGATCAAATTCCTCAGCATTTTCTCCTTTTGTCCTCCATCCAACTACTCTACCCCAGGCCACCACCCAACAGAAAAAAAAAAGGAGAAAAAGAAAAGAAACTAAAGAAAAGGTATAAATTCAGGGCATTTTAGATCTGGTGTATTGACACATTTATGTTTTTATACTCCATTGGATTGCAGGACAAAAATGTTCGTTCAGCTAATGAGTCAACACGAGAGTTAATAAATCTTTCCTCTTGACCATTTTCAAACTCTTAAAACATACTCCTGTAAATCAGGTCAGGGAGGAAATGACTTAACCCCTAAGGAAACTAAGGCACAAAACCATTTAAAATTGCACTATTTTTCTGGAAAAGCATGACTTTAATCAAAATATAAAATCATAACTCTACATTCTACCCAAGGTTCCAGGCACTGTTCCTCGTGGATTAAGAAATTAAACAAACGGAAGCAATATTAACTCATCCATTTGAGAAAATTCCAAAAACACAAGTTCCATAATGTCTATTTACAGCCAAAGGCCCTTTCTTAGTAAATATCATTAATAGGCTCATCTAGAGTCATAATTCATCTGATGAGCCAGTTAATTATTAATTTTCATACATCATTTCATTTCCTTAGGCTACATTTAGCCTCTGTTACATTTTCCATTCCTTATGCCACAAGTATTTCTTACTCTGCACAGAAAACCTGATAATGAAGCATAAAATACTGGTCATGAAAGAAACTTCTCCTGAGTCTGTATATATGTGTTTATTTCTAAACCATCTCAAATAGAGTTCTTATTGATTCTTCCTTTTCCCCCCTTTGGATTAATGATTGTATAATTTCATTAACACAGCCTTTTCAACTCAGCTGCCTTGATCGTTAATAGGCCGGTGATATTCCTGTGGGTTTCTCTTATTACAGCTTTTGTAGCCATAAGAATATAGAAATGAAAGCCTATTGATAGATAATGTAAGTTATTCTCATGCACAGCTACAGTGTGAAGCAAATTCTGCAATTCAATCAAGGACAGATAGAGCTGAATGTTCTTAGATCCCAGGAGTTCATTTTAATAAGCAGAATGTACCTTGTCCTAACACAGGTGACTGACTCCTCAGAAAAGATTGTATAAACAAAAACCAATCATGTAAGTCATTTTATTGGCAACAATATAAACACAGCTATATTAGATGTCACCAATAAATCAAAATTATTCTTGTCTGCAATTTTAACAAGAGGAAAGTGCAAACATGTGCCTGTGGAGCTGGAGGATATTGTGGAGGAAATGTATTGGATGTGTACAATATCATTTCTCTAAATTGAAAGTGGAGGGTCCCATGTTATAATAAAGTAACCCACAACAAGGTATAGTCATCATTTCTAGGGACTCATAACTTTATCCAGTGAAACAGAAAAATTCACAGAACTGACAAAAGAAGTTACACAAAAACAGAGCTAAACTCCTTATGATTGAGGTGTGGAGCAGAAATGCAAGGAGCTTATAACTAATAACTAGAATGTATAGACCTTTTAACTCGAGTGCTCCCAAGGTCTAATGTTGGTAATTATAAAAATACTGACACATTTATTCTGAGCACCAAGATGTACAGATGTTACTCAAGCAATACAATTGCCAATAAGGTGAAATCAAAGAAGTTTCACTCTTAGTTACACTAACTAAAAGTAAGACAAATTAGTGTTTCCTCCGGAGATTCTAGACCATTCTTCCAAATACCCTTCAGAAAAGAAAATGAATGTTATGGATATCACCTAACAGAAATCCTGACTTTCATTTATTTGTGGATTCTAACCCTTAGCTGATAAGCGATACATGTTATTTTCATTTTTTTATTTTTATATTTTATAAAATGTCCTCAAAACTGAAAATCTTTCCTGAATATATGAAGTGAAATAACTGGCAATACCATTT